ATCTCTCAGTTATTTCCTGTGGTCTTCTTATCGTTTTTCCAACCTTATCCTTCATATGGTAGAAGTGTTCCATATTTTTTGCGGACTCTGTCCTCCCTCGTGCTATTCGGTATATATCGCGCTCTCCATCACGAAATTCCAATTTCTTATACAGCTTTTCTACGTATGCTTTCTTCGCTCTCTTGACACATGTTTTTGCAGCGTGTTTCATTTTTAGGTACAACTGTTGATCGCTTTCCGATTTCGACTTATACCATTGCTTGTATGCCTGAATCTTTTCCTTGTCACCGTTTGGACCTCATTGTTCCACCACCAAGTTTCTTTGTCGATTCTTCTTTTCCTGGCTTCGTGTAACCCAGAGAATTCCTTGTTACCCGATGTACGTCACGCTTCAAGGTTGACCATGACTATTATGGTTTCTCACATAAGGCCGACGATAGAGCGCTTACCATAGCTTCTTTGGCCAGAGAGTTCCCTTTCAATTTCCACCACTTTATTCATGCTTTGTTGTCAGTCATGGGCTTTCTTTGTCGTTCAACCGGAATTTTCAGTTCTAGAAGTAGTGGCTCATGCTGAGGTATGCAGCTTTCACCTGGAGTAACTTCGCAATCCTTTATGTTCTTTAGGTTATCGTACCGCACTGCCCAGTAGTCAATTTGTGTTAGACGGTCTTCACTTGAATACGTAATCGGGTGTTCATGTTTTTTTTTATGTAGTACGTTTGACTAATGCTAGGTTGTACGCTGTGGCGAACTTTAGAATGCGTTCGCCTTCTTCCGCAGCATTTCTTTTCTCCCCCAGATGAGCGTTTAGGTCTGCTCCGAGCAGGAGTCTCGTCTTGCGGTATGGATGTGATGTAATCGTCAAGCTCCTGCCAGAACGTATTCTCTTCTTCCTCCTTGCATCTGGTTTGCGGAGCGTAGGCGGTGACAATTCGAAAAACTTTTCTACCAGTGTCAATCTTTATGCTCACAAGTCGATCACTTAATCGGTCAACTGCAGCAATCCTCCTTCTTAAGCTTTTTGAGACAGCTATACCTACTCCGTTGCGACTGCTGCTTGTGCCATTGTAGAGAAGCCTATAGCCATCTCCAATATCGTGATTTTCCATCATTCCATTTTGTTCCCCTGTATGCACGCTATATCCACTCGCCGTCTTCTTAGGAGATCCGCCAATTCTCGATGTCGTCCAGTGAGGGTTCCGACATTGATGGTAGCTAATCGGAGTGCTTCTGAGTTTTCGGATATCGAAGAGCTACTTTCCTACCCATTTCCGCTCTTTATAAGACGGTGGCCCTAGTCCACTATTCGCACCTGTCGGGCGTGTCGCTTCCGGGGGAAGCGCTCTAGCTTTTACTCGAATTCTTTATTGGACATCAACTCATTTTGATGCGATGGGGTGTTTCTCAACCGGCTCGTCGCCCACCCTGAGTGTAAGCCTGACGCTGGAATCGGCAAGAATTATGTCCTAGTGAGGACGAACCCGGGACCTCACCGAAATGAGATTCTGGGAAGCACTAACCACTCGGCTGCTCTGCCTTTAAGCTTTGAGTGTAATTAAGGATGGAAAAAGTTAGAAATGGACAAACTACTATAAGAGGAAACAGAGGAAACACATTACGATAGACACTTCCGGAGTCGACAAAAAAAGTACGATGAACTTTCTTTCAAATCCTATAGTTGCTGTCTATGCCGATATGTACCTGCCATTTCCGTATTCAAGCCTGAGCTACAATGCATTAGGTCAACACCAAACGTGTTCATTAGCCGTTGAAGGAGGCACCTATATATAATCACAACGCTTTCTGATCCTTTATAATCTTTGCTTTTCTCCTTGAAGAAAACAGAATCATTCAAAATAGCCATGCCCTTATCGACTATAATGAAAGCATAATAAAATCAATAATAAGGCCGCACATGACCCAGTATCAGAAAACTCGAGAAGAATGAGATAAAACGCTGAGGAAATACTTCATATCAGTAGAATGAAAGAGCAATAACGTGAAGAATCATTAGTAAAACCATTTAAAAAAAGAGGCCAACTAGCCACTGCCTGCAGCTAGCACACCACCTTTTTAACTGGACTCCCATTCATCCAACTGCAGCTTCAATAAGCTCCTCATTCCTGTATGATGTTGCACTTGGTTCAGGTAAAGTATTTTTGACGGGATTAGCAACAGCACGCTCCACAATCTCTTCATGGAAGATATGAGTATGAAGTTTATGGAACTTCCCTTGAGTTCATCTAAGCCAAATTCAAACTTTTCGTTGCTCTAATAATAAGGCCGTTATAGCGTGAACGGTCCATTACGTATAGGAAAGGCTTACAAATACATTTACTTGCCTTCTCTAAATTCCTGGAGTACAGCAATTAATCTAAGTACCTTCTTCTTGCGAGTGCCTTAACCTTTACGTTGAGGATGAAAAAGCGCTTGAAGTAAGTAACGATGAGCTGCTTGAATCTGCCTGCCCGCTTTTCTACGAGCTGCAATAAAGGTGTCTATATTTTTGACTTACAAAAAATAATTAATTCTCGCAAAATCCTGTCCAACTTTCATAAGGCGATCTTAAGGAAATCGGTGGAAGTACAAATTCGGTGTGAAATATGGTCTACTTTCTCCATACTCATTACCTCAAACTAAGGTGATTCCGTTAAGGTTACTTATTCGAATTCGACAAACAGGCAACTCTGGTAGAGTGAGGCTCGGCAGTCCAAATATAACCAAACTTCAACGTCGCCATTTCATCATTGTTGTCAATATAAAAGCTTGATAAAGCGTAGAAATAGTGTTTGTTTTTGAGTTGCACTATTTCCTCAACAACCAAAGAGTCGATCAACTCTGAGCTTTTACAAAGTGCTCGTAGAAATATGACCGAAGAATTTCGTCGCTGGAGATGAGACATTGTTCACAGTAAAGAGATAAACGTCAAAACAGAAAGAAGGTTTTTGCCGCCTAGAAGTGAGTGTTTGTATTGCCAGCTTTGTTATTAGCAAGCCGAAACATGCTAGTATATTCATGACTCGTAGATTGTTT